CATGTTGCCCTTTTATTTTTACCATCGATCTTTCAATTTTGTCAATCAGACCATCTAACTATTTAATTGTAGTCAATCAAGCCACTAGTCGTTAATGGTTAACGAAAATATTGATGTGGTAGTTGACTATTTTGGTATAATTACACATTTGATCCATGTTGTTTATATATCTTTTCAATTTAGTCTTATTTTTAATTTATTTTGGATGTTTAAGTTTATTTTAATTTAATTTATTTTAATATATTTATTTTTCACTAATCATAGGATGACACATGTCACCCTGTGATTAAAAACAAACAAACAAAGCAATTGTGGGAAGGATTTGATCGAGAGTTGAGAGGGAAACCAAGCACAAACAAAACCCCGGGGTCAAATACAATTCTTGGGTCAAAGTAGACAACATCTTGTATATTTATAACTTAGTGTATAAATATTTAACTTAAAAGTAATAATATTTTATATATCTTTAAAAATATATTTTATTTTTATCTTAACTTATTAAATATATTTTCTCATTAACCTAATTTAAAAATGTTTTATAATTATTTTAATTTTAAAAACATATATTTTATTCTTATTTTAACTTAAAAATATATTTTATTCTTATTTTAAGTTTTAAAAATATATTTATTTTTATCTTAATTTAAAATAATAATAAAATTTCAAGTGTTCTAATCCATGACGCCAAAGATCTCGTTGTTTCGTAGTTAATTATAAAAGTCTCAGACTGATCAATTTGGTCACAACCATGGAAAAACAGAGTTTGCAAATTTTGCAACTTACAAATGGAGCTGGGAAGCTTCTTGATGTTGGGACAGTAATAAAGGTCGAGACACCTTAAATGCTTCATATTACCAATCCATTTCGGCAATACCTCGAATGTCGACCTCGAAAGATCGAGCATCCGCAACCGATGGAACCTCTCGAGATATGTTCTGATAAAGGATTTGTCTGTAGGACTATTTCCCATATTTGGAGACCTAAGTGAACGCACATGCCCGAATTTATCAAGGAAATGGGAAGCATTTTAAACAGAAGAATCATGGTTAATAAGCCATACGTGCCGAGTACCTGGGGCAATGTTTTGCTCAGAAGAGTGTACCATGCAACACTCATTCTTTGCAACAGATAATGCAAGATCATGTAAAAGATCATGCATTTTGAATGTACCTAACAACAACTGGTAATCATAATCGTGGATAAAACGCCTGGCGATATCATACGGATTCTCATTTGTATTGGTGGATTCAAGAAGACCATGAACCATCCAAAATGTGATTAGCTTAAGTTCAGAAAATTCTAAATCCTTTGGCAAGATCGAGCAATAAGCAAAACATTGCTTCAGCTGAGGATACACTTGATCATAACTTAGTTTCAGAATAGAAAGCGTGTCATTATCTTTCTCCATTAGTTCCCAGGTTTCACTATCTTTAACAAGTTTCCACTCCTGCTCTGAAGTTTTGGGGAAAAGTAAACTCCCCAATGTCTTCAGCAGCAGAGGGACCCCATTGCATTTCTTAACGATTTCTTCCCCGATTTCGACAAGGATCGGATGTCATTTCTCTTGCCCTTTCTTGAAGGCGAATTTGAGGAACAAAGATAATCATTTGTCACGAGGAAGAGCTTCCAAATGGTGTGGAGAGATGGTACCTGTGATCCTTATTAATTCAAGAGGTGATAACGATTTTGCTTCCGGTATCTCCTCCGGATAACAACTGCTTCAGTTCCATCCAGTTCCTGTTATCATCATTCCAGACTTCATCTAAAACAAGCAAATATTTTTTTACCATCCAAGTAGTATCGTAAGGTCGTCTGTAACTGCTGCAAATTCATGCTTCCGAGGTCTCGATCGCCACCACCCTTTCCGGATTTAATGGCTTTTACAAGTAATCGTTTCAGATCAAAGTCATCGGAAACACACACCCAGAGTCTCAACTCAAAGTGAGTATCCACAGCTTCGTCATTGAAAACAAGTTTGGCAAGGGCCGTCTTCCCCAAACCTCCGATTCCGATGATGGGAAGGACCGGTATGTCTTCTTCATCACCCGGATCATCTCGAGTTAACATCTTCACAATTCTTTGTTCTCTTCATCTCTACTAATTACCTCCGATGCTTGCACAAAGGAGTGAGTCTCCATGTCTATGTGCCTTGGGCCATCATGCCTCTCGACATGATGAAAATCATTTTTCAATGCAGCAATCTTATGAATTATCTGTTCAAGTTCTTTAATCTTATGTTGTTGCGGAAGACGGTTATCGGATAGAGCAAAATCGTAACTGATAATTTAAGAAAATAAAAAATGAAGATAAAAGAGACACAAAATTTACGTGGAAAACCCCTAAATAATATAAGGTAAAAACCACGGGCAATGGTAGAAAAATTTCACTATGAGAAAATAAGAATTACAACTTCTCTCGATCTACCAAAGAGAAAACAATGATAATTATCTCTTGATAAAAAAGGAGAAAACAACTCTCAATAAACTCTCTAAATTCTCTCTAGTATTGGAAGAAAGCTAAAATACTTTGGGATGTTTTTGAAGCTAAATGAGCTCGAGTATTTATAGTAAAGCTTAAGGACTAATTTGTAAATATCTTAAATTACAATGACTAAAGTTTATAATTTTACCCTTTCATTTTTTCAAAAAAAAAACCCTACCACTTTGACCATGTGCATTCGGTGGAATTGTTTATTTCAAACTTTCGGTGTTTTGCTTCAATTTTCAACATATGTGCCATCTTAAATCGAAAAACAAGTGGATTTGAGTTTGAAAAGAAATAGTTGACCTTCTTCCCAATGCTCCTCCTCACTTGCTTCCTGGATGCTTCGATTTCGAATTCATCCAATACATCTTCGGCGTCGTAACAGGCATCTTTTAGCTCTTGTAGCCAAACCCAGAGCTGATTATCATGAACCTGTTTCAGTTCAGCATCTAAAAGCATCTTTGTGAAGATGAAGAGATCAATTAAACTAAATACTACTTTGCATTAGAAAAATAATATAGAAACAAGTGGGGGTTGAGGTTAGGTTGGTAGAATCAAGGTCGGTCCAATGAGTTTTAATGTCCTGAGTGAGATAATAATTTTATGCCATATATTTGTACCGTATAATAGACAAAACATAAATAATTTTTTAAAAACAAAAATGTAATAAAACTTGTAGTCAAACAATATCAATACTAATACAAACCAAAACCTAACAAATATCACCTAAAACGATACTTCATGCATTTTTTGAAGCAAAAACCTCTATTATTTTACGATAATCAAGACTTTGTAAAAATTGACTTTCGATGCTTAGAATTGTTAATCCGTTCAATCTATCTTGAGTCATTATATCTCGTTTAGGCAATGTTTTTGACAAAAAGTTAAACCAAAGATGCTGCGATGGCCCCAAGAGAAGCACTGCTCTGTGATTACACACTAGAAAACTGCCCCCCTCAAACATGATGCCCTGGGTTAAGGCTCATCTGACATATGTATTGGGCTGGCCCTGGGTGGAATATTAATACAAAGAAGAAAAGTCAGCAAACCAAAATCATAATTTAATTAATGCAAGCACACAGACAACCATGGATACCAAATTTCACGTACACATATATACATAAGCATGATTCAAGCTAAGGTTCAAGGTAGCATCCAACATTAAGAAAGTTCATAAAAAAGGTATTACAATTAATATAGGGCCAATTTGACTAGTACAAACATATCACAATTTTAATGGTTAAAGGAAGGGTCGTTTTCTTAGATGTCCCGAGTTCGATTACAACATCTATAGGGTGTGTAAGTATTCATTATCAGTTAATTAAGAATAATTTGATCATACACTATTTTATAATTATATAAGACTAATAAAAACAAAATGTCACTTAGCTTAAAAGTCGAGGCTACAAAAATACATACATTGTAAGTTTACTAGAAAAACGCTAATGATATTATAGCATGTCCAAGTCCAAGTCTATATAAGCTTGGTCAATAATGTCAAATTCGGATGCAAGTCCAAGTCTTACATGCAAACAAACATTGAAAAAATATATGCTTTTGAACTTGGAAGGAAGAAATTAATAAACAGCCCTTCTCTATATAAGCTTGGCCCTGCTTTAAACATCAGATCAGAAAGGCAAAGCAAAGCATTATATTCTTGTATAGAGAGGTTGGGTTCTCCCCTGTCCTATACTTCCATATCTCCTGCTATGGATAATCTCAATGTGGATAAAAAGTGTAAAAGGAGCGAAAGGGGAAAAAAGAAAGAAGATTGGTCACCTAACGATCCACCCGTAGACCAACTGAAGAAGTTGTTTGAACGCTATGGCCACGATCAAGATATTCGCCTCAGTAGGAAAGAGATCAAGCAAGCCTTCAACAGCTCTTGTTCACGTTTCCCATCACGGAAACCACTTAAAGCAGCACTTCTTCTTCATCATGCTGACGCAAATAAAGACGGCTTATAAGTGAGGAGGAGTTCGACCTTGTGGGCAAATATGCAACAGAATGTGGCCCTAAAATTGTGATGTAGCTAGCTTAAGTTTGGTCGATGCTTTTGGTGTTTACAATAACTCAATTGGGAACTAATGCCAGAAAGTGGAAGGGATGATTTCTTCTCTCGTTTCAATATGTTGTATCATCAACTTATTGGTATGGTTTAAGTTTACTTTGTATACTCTTTCAGTAATTCATGTATGTTAAAGCCTCTAAACTTCAAAATTTGGACTAAAACTTGTAGTACAATCAAAATCCAGCCGATGATTTTATCAAGACAGTAACATGATTTCCTTGGTTTCAGCTTTAACATTTTGGATACATTTAACTATAAAATGTAACTAGAAATTGGAAGGGGTGATTTCATATCTCGTTTCTATGTGTATTATCAACTTCGTGGTATGGTTTAAGTTTACTTTGTATACTTGAACTTTCAGTAATTCATATGTGTGAAAGCCTCAAAGCTTCAAAATGTGGACTAAAACTTGTAGTACAAGTAAAATACAGCCGATGATTTTATTATGTCTAGCAATTGTTGCGTCTTCAAAACCCCAATCATACTTAACGGGCACAATCGACAGGCTTATGTTCCTGATGCCTTTTCCATCGGGCCCAGACACTATGGCCAAATACATTCAAAAGGGACACAAAAACTCAAACTGAAGTATCTTGAAGGCCTCATTCATCATTCCCCTAATCCGGTGACTCGACTGGTAGAGCTGGAAGAAGCTATGACAGAGATCAAGTTGGAGACTCATGAATGTTATGGGGGTCCGGTTATATTCAGCGGTGAAGAATTTGTAAAGATTCTGGTGCTTGATGGTTGCTTGATTATTGAACTGTTCTGGAAAGATGTTGATGAAGTCGAAAGAGACGAAGATGATCCCATTTTCATCATGTCTTGTATGCTTCACCTTCTATATCTTGCTTTGATTTTGCAAGAAAATCAAGTGCCATGGTTGGTTCTTGATAGCTTCTTTAATCTAACAAGGGCCGCTAATGAAACCAAGTCCTTGTCTCGACTTGCCATCGAATTCTTCGGAAACATGTTTTCATCTGATGCACCTTCCATGGACCGAAATCTTTTCTTCGGGAAAGATTTATCCGAATAACCCCCGAGACTGACTTCTTATGCAATACTCCTTGATAACCTTAACGACACGACCGACGACATGGAGGTGCTATATCAATAACTTATCCAGCTTGCATAATTAATGATTTCTTTTATGTTACCAAGTTTATCCCCTGGTCAGGAACTCTACCAACAGATTAGACTAGTTGTTAAAGATAACCGAAGGTAGCAACAGGTTTGTTCGGATCAAGTTTTGGTCGGTTTATTTTGAATCTAGATTATATTCGATTTAGATTTAATTTGGGTAGAATCAGAATTGTTTTGAATTTAATTCGAATCTATGGTAAGTCAGGTCGAGTTGAGTCAATACCAGATTGATCGATTTTCGAATCAACCTTTGGACCATCAAGTCAATTAATTGAATTAGACATGAGTCAAATCGAGTATATATAAAATTATTGATATATTCTTGTAAAAAAACATATTTTTGTTTATCAATTTTATCATTTATACTTAATTTCAACGTACAACTAATCAATATTTCAAATTCAATCATAATTTAGGGATGATAATTTGACTCAAACTCGACCTATAAGTTGTATTAGAGATTACAACTTAAATTTCATATTAATCCAACCCAACAAGTTCACAGTATGACCAATTTGGTAAAAAAAATTAATTATAAATTTTATTCTCAATTCAAAATTTCAATTTTTTTCAAATATAAATACAATATTATTATTATTATTTTTAAAAATAATACAAAAATTATATTAGAATATATATTAATTTAAATATTTTTATAAATGTTATTATATCTTCAATAATTTTTTAGTTTTATATTATAAAAAAAAGTAAATATTTTTATTATAAAATTAAATTATTTATTAATTTTTTAAGAAAATAAAGACTTTGATTCTTAAATTAGGATGATACACTGTTGACATATTATATTTATAAAAGCAAAATCAAAATAGTTTAAATTCTAATTATCTTATAAACATAGATTCATTGAGTGATTGAAGACAATGTCTATACATATATGTTGTCACTAACATACGGCCGAAGTCAAAGACGCGTTCATACTTATATAAATACATGTTGAGAACACGTTTAACACACTTTTTTTTTAATAAATTTATATAATTTTTTACTTTTTTTATCCTATATAACATCACCCTTTTTTTTCTTACCCAAGGGTACTTGACAACTTGTATTTGGAAAATTGTTCTTCGGTATACCTAGGCTCGGTCACAGTTAGTTTGTAGCATAGATCATGATTTAAGCTGATTTGATCATGTAAACCCTAAAGTTGATTGAACCGAAATTTAAATGTTAATATCAATGGATTGGTTCAAGTGGTAAGAAGCTTGATATCGTCTAATTAGGTCTTGAATTCGAGTCCTTATGTATACAGAAAATCTCCACTAGGAGACTCACCCACCAATGTTAGGTGTACGACCCGGATGGGTCTGGAGGAGAAAATTTTAAATGTTAATTAAATCTATTTTTTTAATATATTTGTAACACTCCATACCGGTCACGAAGAATGACCCGGATACCCGAGTGTACATTAAATTTCGAATTGAGTCGGATGGAACAAAAACCCTAAACGTGCATTTTATATGGAAACGAAGTTAAATAAACATCCATCATGCTAAAAAATATAAAAGAAAACATTTAAAACATATTAATGGCAGTAAACTATCATGCAATGACAAAATATTATCATTATCACTAGAGGGGTAAAATGGTCATTTTACACATCAACAAGTGAAATATAAAATTAAACTTACCAATATTTAATATTAATCATCAATTAGTGACATGAAAAATTTTAGCTTAATCGGACATTATTCAGGGACCTAATTGCTCATGTAGTTCTAATAACCAAAACGTAAACATTTCAAAAGTCACATTCGAACAACAACCATGCAATTGATATTTCCATTGTGTAATTCAATATATTAGAGTGTGTCAAAACAAACCTCACCAAATTCTGAATTGAGGTTAAGTTTTAATTAACAATTCAATTTCTAAACCATTTTAAACATTTACAAACTTTCTAGGGTTAAACTAAGACTTAGGAACACTTAGGACCTTTAATGAATCAAGTTTTATCATTTTTCATCGATTACATAGCAAAGGGATCGATCCTTTGCAAAACAGTAGGTTTGAGATTGATCCTTTAAGAAAGGGATCGATCTTTTTAGTGAAAGGATTGATCATTTACTCAAGGGATTGATCATTTTTTTTTTGAAAAATGCATATTTTTTATATGGACATCCAAGAACATGCTATCAAGCTTCCATGCAATCAATCATATGGTCTAGATACATGCTTGAACACATTCATACCACTTCATACATGTCAAATTACATATGTAGCATGCATCATATTATTGGTCAATACAACATACAAGAATCAGGCATCAAAAGTCAAAGATTGCATATCAAGTTCACTTTTTCACAAGTCACCTAGTCCAATCCAATTATGCAATTAAGGTTGTTTCATGCATCTTATAAGCCTAACACAATACTTAGGCTTAGTGTCACTTGTCTAAACACTCCGAACACCTGTTTAAGGCACAATTCAACATTTGATCATTCTAGCATCAATGAACATATTCTAACATACATAATTCATCTTGCAACAACAAATTCAATTCATTCAATATGCTTTGACATAATATCAAACATCTTTATCATAGCATTATAAAGTCCAACAAATCATTATAATCAATAGTTCATTAAATCCAAAATAGGTTCCAACATTTCCACATTGCTCAAAATCAGACCACATATGCTTATTTAGTAATAGCCTTGCTTGATCACCATTGAGTGCTCACTCCTCACCTCTGACACAACAACTATTCCTCTGAAAAATATTAAACAAAAAGTGTGAGCTACAAGGCCAGTGAATAATTAACATTCTAACAAGATGCTTACCTCAAAGCTAGAGAAAGCACCTACATGCAAGGCAATCTCATTTGTTTTTACCTCAATCATCATGTCACCATGTCATCATATTGAAAACTCATAATGCATCATAAATACATGCTAAATTAAAGAATATCATCATGGAAACATCATCACATTCACTACTGCAAACACAATCACTCATGCACTATTACCTTGTTGGCAAAGTCACATGCAACACATATAGTTTCCATTATAAGATCAATGACTTTTTGTTTTCAAAACACAACTCACTCATTGGATAAACGGACTCTATACAACTCTTCTTTTTATTTGTGGACTCACAAAGGTCCAAAACCACGACTTTCAGAGATAAATCAGCGAACCAATCTTACCCCGTGTTCTTCTCAGAGTAAAGCACAACACATCAACCTTACCCTGTATATCCCTTATACACTTTCACATATAAAAACATAAAGTACTCTTTCCTATGCATGCCTTTCATATCCAAAGGTTCCATTAAGAACATATAGTCAATTTGTTGAGTTAATCGATCGACGGAATTGACCAAGAGGGGGGTGAATTGGCAATTAAAAATTTGGTGGAAGCTTTTGCAAAAAATTGAAAGTAATTTGTTGAGTTAATCGATTGACGGAATTGGCCAAGAGGGGGTGAATTGGCAATTAAAAATTTGGTAGAAGCTTTTGCAGAAAATTGAAAGTAATTGCACAGTGATTTAGAGTGGTTCGACTTTCTCAATCAAAGTCTACGTCCACTACCTTAGCTATCCACACTAAGGATTTTCCAACAAATTCACTAATTTGTTCTTTCTTTTGAGGCCAAAGAGATAACCTTACAACACCCTCAAGAATATACCCCAATTCTTGAGAACACTCTTTCCCAAAGAGAAGATTACAAATTTGCAAACTTACAAGGAAAACCTCTCAAGGTAAGATGTTTGCACAATTCTAGAACAAGAAAAGAACACTCACAAATAATTACAAATGAGCACAAATGGTGTTCTTTGAAAGCAAAATGAATATTGAAAGGAAAATTGGCTTGATTTGCACAAACTTGGTGTTTGATGCTTTCTCTCTTGTTTCTCTATAGTTTCTTATTGATCAAGGGCTTCAGAACTTGTTTAAATACATCTTGAATCACTTCTGAACATTGGGGATGATTAGTGAAGATCATATAGCCGTTTTAGTGTGAAAACAATTAATAAAACAGCTTGGAGCGTGGGGGGAATCGGTACCCCCTATGGGGAATCAGTTCCCTACGTATAAAATTCAAATATTTCGACCGTTATACAAGGGGGGGAATCGGTTCCCTCCGAGCATACTGGAATTCTCGGAGCCAAACCATTCATGGGGGAATCGGTACCCCCTTAGGGGGGAATCGGTTCCCTCTGAGCAATCTGGAATTTTTGGCTTTGAAATGGTTCGAAATACTTTGTAAAATTATTTTGAAATTGTTTTAAGATTAAAACTTAATTTTACACTTTGAGTAAGGATTAAAAATGATCTTTGAAAGATTTCGAGTAATGTTTTGATATTCGAATAATTCTATCGAATATACTTAGAAAATCATTTGGAAAATCTTAAAATTCATTTAACTTAATTTGTTATATCGAAATATCAAAATGTTTACAACAATCTCCCCCTTTTTGATATAACAAAAAACATTTTAGTAATTTTAAGATTTTGAAATCAAGTTTTCAAATTACTCCCCCTTACTTTAACACTTCTCCCATTTATCATTTAAAAACACTTTAACACTTCTCCTCCTTTTTGTTAAATCAAAAAGACATTTTAAAGAATTTAAACAAGGTTTTGAAATCAGTTAGCCAATTGATTATATATAATATAAGCTGCTAAGATCACAAGCAAGAGAAACGTTATCCATTAGTTTCATAATCAATATTCATAATTAATGTGAAATGGCAAAATTGGTCATATATCTAATCATGAAGTAAATGATGCAATAATGAATAAATTTAATCACACCAAATAGATAATTTCTAACCATTCATAAATCCAAACAAATTCAAAGTCAATCAATCCACAAATTCAAACATTCCAAAATATTCAAAATGTTAAAACAATAAGTTTGGAGTTCAAAG